CCATCAAGAAACTGAAAATGATAACTCCCAAATTCTAAAAAAAAACAGTAAATAAAATAGTCATAGAAAAACAAAACAAATAAGATCAGAGAAGAAAAGAAACAAAACTGAAACCACTTTCAGAAATGTGAACAACTACGTAAATAGAAGAAATCATCCACCCACGATAATTTTTGAAATAATTCTCTAGGTTCTAGCATCAACTTGCAACGTTTTTTGTCAAAAAAGAAAGTGGCACTTTGTTTTTTTTAATATTATTATTGTGAATCAACTTGCAACATTTTTTAACAACAAAATGGCAACATGCATGACCAAGCCGAAACGTATTGCAATAGAACGTTTAGACTTGTGATGCTAATAAAACTAGTAGAACAACGATGCCATGCACGGTCAAACAATAATCTCAAATAAATGATCAAAAATAGTTATATAAATATGTATTCTAGACACAATTACGTAAAGTAGACTATGAATACAAATAAATTTTTTAACAAACCAATAGGCGACAACGATTGCCTTTGATTTTTATTTACGAATTACGATCATAACATAATAAGTTACAACGTTTTTTTACAAAAAATGACATCATGCATGACCAAGCTGAAACGTATTGCAATAAAACTTTTAGACTTGTGATGCTAATAAAACTAATGCACAATAAATCAATAATCTCGATCAAATAAATGACCAAAAAATAGTTATATAAATATGTACTCTTGACACAATTACGTAAAGTTGATTATGAATAAAAGTAGATTTTTTAACAACAAACCAATAGGTGACAACAATTGTCTTCGATTTTTATTTACAATCATAACATAATAAGTTGCAATGTTTTTTAACAAAAAAAAAGGAATCATGCATGACCTAGCTGAAACGTATTGCAATAAAACTTTTAGACTTTTGGTGCTAATAAAATGATATAATTCACATTATATGATGGATTGATACTACTACAAAGTAATACATGTCGCCGCATTTTTTGAAATGTATCAAAAGTGTTATACAAAACCTTTTGAAATGTCTCACTATAGAAAATGATGTTTCGTAGGTCATGCTTTTTGTTTTATGTTTTTTAGGTTTATGCCTGCGCATAAAAACACGTTCTTGACTTCATCGCCTGGATTAAGAAATTAATTTCTCCTTTTTGTATATTTAAGCGAAATTTTGACTTTAGGCTCGGAATTTGAGTGATATTGAATTCCTCAAAAGCACACATTAATGATTTTGAAAACAGAGAATGAAATTCAATATTGCCCAATTTTTATGAAATTTTATATTATTCGTCTCGTTTCTATACCCTACTTTTCATATATTATCGTCCCTACTTTTCATCTACTCTCTTCTTGTGCCTTTTTCCCTTCTCTCATTCTACTTCCTGCTATCTAAACTAGGGGCCAGCAAATTGGTTCGGTTTACCAAACCGCACTGAATTGAAGTATGCCGAATCAAAATCGAAGGATATGCAATTCGAGTTGAGTTTAGTAGGGAAACCGAAGTAAAGTAAACTAATTAAACCAAAACCGTGAAAAAATGAATAAAACTAAACCAACCTAAAATGTTCGATAAATTCTTCAGATTTTTTTAACATAACAAATCCAAACTGAAACGAACCACATCAAGCCAAAACATAATACGAAGTATGGTTTTTCTATGATAATCTATCATTTATTCGTTCGGTTAAAGTTTCTTTTTATTTGTCACATTTTCGTATTTTTCGTATTTGAAATTTTTTAACTTACTTTTGTTCTTTTACTTCTCTACTTTTTTAATATTTTCTTCTTCTTTTTCCTACTTTTCCATTTTTCTTCTCATGTTTCTTACTGTTTTTCATTCTCTTTCATGTTTTTCCTACCATATTTACTATCTCATACGTAGTACTACTTTTTTAATGACCGTGAAAATTTGTAGTGAAAACATAATTAATCAATATAGAATAGAAAGTGTATAAATATTTGTAATTTTTTATTTGATTTATGTGTTTATAATAGTACTTTAGAGAGTCAATTATAACACTTTAAAATCATTTAAAATATGGTAGACCGTGACATGTTCACCGTCCAACAAAGACTCATTATGGCAAATTGCGTATTATTATTGCTTTGCTGATGAACAAAGATAAAATAAAATGTAGCGTAATATGTGATCAATCTTCGCATAGTATTTATTTAATTAATGTCTTTTTTCCTTCACACTTTTGTTTAAGAATCTAAGCCCACCTGAAGCTCAAAACGAGGCAAACCTTTATTCGCATTCCACCCTTCCACGTCCCGGGGAAAACAATTATGTAGAGATATCTAGCTAGATAAAGATGTGCTTTTTTTTTTTGTTTTGCGGCCATGACATGCTAAAGGTTATACTATCGTATATACTACGTATATAAAAAAAATGTTAGGATTTTCTGGAAAATAAGATCTTTTCACATATGGGTTGTTTTAGTCTCCAAATCACTGATGGATAATAGGAACACATAAAGTTATAAGAAACTAAGAAAGCAAATGTGGAGATTAGATAGCCAAGTGTTGTGTTAAAGGAATGAAGAAAACGAGAAAAATTTGGAAATCACATTAATTTTCAATGAGATTACATTTTTGACCTTATTAAGGTATACTCTCGTTCCAGGTAAAACTTCTCATTTGTCTTTTTTGAACGTCTCATTTAAACCTTCTCATTTCTACTTTGGAAAAATAATTATCACCTTTAAATGATAAATAATCATCATCTCAATAACAACATCAACATCCAAACCTTATTCCCAAAAGATTTTGTGGTCAATAATATAAATTGATCCAGGGCCGGCTCAATAGATTAGGAGACCTGGTGCAAATCACGTAAAATAGGCTTTATATTAAATAAATATAGGTAGATTTTATGGTACCCAAAAGGTACTATATTTTTGTCCACATGGATCAATCAGAATGTTGCAGTTGAATTATTTAAGTCTAAATTAAAAATGATATATCTATTTGGACCAATCAAGTAAATGGTAGGTACGATACCTCATTTTTAAATGGGTACCGGAGTTCTCACCATAAATATAATATAAAATTCAGCCTTAAAAAATAACCCAAAAAAGACTACAATCAAAAGTGACATTGAGATATAATCATATTTCGAACCTGAACAACCGAAATCGGTATAAAAAAACTAAAATCGAAAAGAAATGAATTAAAATCATGAACTAAAACTTATAGAGTAAGATATTACTAAAAAAACTACTCCCTCCGTCCCTTAAAACCAAGCTCGTCCAAATTGTACGATGAATTTGTGCTAATTACTATAACTAGGTCGTGTGTAATAAAGAAGTTGCACATTTATAATTAACAATTGCATTTTAATTACATATAAATATTAGTATTGAATGTTTGTATTTAAAAACAAAATACTAAAATAGGAATCTTCAATCAAATAAAAAAGGATTTTTTATATTATGTAGACTATATAAAATTTTGGGCCTTCTGAATCGAGAAGCCTTGTGCCATTGTGAGGTAGCACTTCTTGCATGCCCTCATCTACGACCCTGAATTGATCAATGATATTCGAGCAACAATGAAAAGAAAGATAAGAAAATTAAAAAGATAAGGTAAAATATAAAAAAGAATAGGATAATGATAAATACTCGTATAAGATAAAAGAAAATATGATATATTAATCAAGTAATGAAAATAATATACATATAACATCACAATTTTCATCAATGACTTCATTATGCTATATACTAATCAAAATTACTTAAAACATAATTGAACTACCTCATTTAATTATTATCTAAATAGTTATATTATTTTTTTAATAGAAAATTTAAACCGGAACAGATGTATGTGGTATATATTTCATACTACGTACTACGTATTAATTATCGTGCCATTGCATCAGCCATGGAATTTACTCACTTGGTCGCTATATTTAAGCTAAAAATTCACAAATCTTATGGTTTTCAGTGGTATCATTTTAATGATGATACATGAAACGATACATAGATCTAAAATTGCCAAAAAATTAACATGCACTTAAATTCACAACAGTTTTGGACGTATTGAAAAAATAAATATTTATCATTTCATCTACGACTATTCACTTGGTCTCAAATTTGAACTAAAACACAAACTTTACGCTTTTCAGTCATGCCAGATTTATTAAAAATGACATACTTAAAAAGATAATAATCTAAAATTGCTAATAAAAAATTAACATGACTAGTTTCGAGCACACCTCATATAATTATTGGACAAAAAATGCATATTCTATTTTTCTTTATATGCTTGTCTTCTTTGGGATTATGGCAATTCTTGCAAAACTTAAGTTAAAATGTCTAAAAAGCAGTGATTGTTTCTTGGTATATCAGCTAATTCTGTTTTTGGCTTCACACATTCAGAAAATTCAACATGTTCCATGAGTCCATGACCCTTGCCAGACAATCAGACATGCCTAAATAATGCTGCAATCTTTGTGTTCCTATATTTTCTCCAGAGTTCAGAAAAACTACCCTTCTCAGAAAGTGAGACTGAAGAAATGTTTCTTCTTTTTATTGTAATGAAGAAATGTTTATCCTTTTGTTCAAGTCTGGTTTGATTTGATACTTCATCTATTCCATTTTGGTTGTTTTACTTTCTTTTTTTGATTGATTTGATACTTCATCTATTCCATTTTGGTTGTTTTACTTTCTTTTTTGACAAGAAATATGTAGTTCATATCATTTCACTTTATTCTACTCAAATCTCAACTACAACTGTTACTTTTCAACCACTTATTAGTAATTGTGTCAAACTAATCTCAACTACAACTGTTACTTTTCAACCACTTATTAGTAATTGTGTCAAACTAAAACAACGCAACCAATAGGGGACATAGATAGCATTATTTACATTTATGATTACATTTAATCTGATCTAAAATAAGTTCAAGTGAAGGTCCTTGAACATCTATGATAAAAGTCATTTCCATAAACACAATCTCCCATTAGCAGAACTATACATATTAAAAACACTTCTTAAAGAGAGCTTTGATGCAAAACTTTCAATTCAATGTGTAGCCCATTCTGAAACAAAAGTGTTCAGTACATTGACAAGTAATAAACCAAGACACTTGTTCTTCCCATCCTTGACAAGGCCAGTACCAATATTAAAAAAAAATGCATGTCTACAATTCTTATACAGAAGCTTGAGCAAACAATAATCATGATCTACAACTGTATTTAGAACCAACCCCCCTCCCCCTTACAAGTCATTATTAACCTATCTCTAAAATTTCATGTTACCACCAGAATGAAAGTAAATACACCAATGGATTACAATTAAATTGATAAAGCAGAAAATGCTGCTACTCAAGATTCTTTGAACATAAATATGGTGTTGAAGCTTGAGTGTACAGATTGATAATCATCCCTCTGTCCATCCTTCCCCCCTCTCTAAAAAAGAAAACTAAAGATGTGAAGGGATTTTTTTCCAAATAAGAAAAAAAATTATATAGAAAAAGATCAGATAAATAACCCCCATTGCCTCATAATCTATCATTTTGTGTGCTAAAGAGGCATGTTTGAATGCAAGAGTATTATGAACATCATCTCTAGCAACCCATCACAGCACAATTATAAACAAAGCTGCCAGATACCTTACGGCCAAGAACGTTCCATTGTGGCGGTCCTTCATTTGGGACCCATGAGTTGACTTCGATATATCCTTGACCCACGGTCCTTGGTCCGCCAATGACAAGAAGCCGGTCCCCACAAGCCTTAAAAGCCAAACCCCAACCGTTCATCGAGTTCGCCCTTTCGGGTAGATTGCCCACAGTCACCCAAACACCGCTACCCTTGTCATACCTCCTAACCTCCATGTCAGCGGAATTCGCGGCGTAAAGTTGGTTCTTCACAACAGCGAGCAAAGGTGGCGCTTCGGCGGTGGCGGGCAGGCCATTTTCTCTGACTGCGGCTGGCCGGACAAGGGACATGTTTGGTATTTCGGTCCACGTTCTCTTTTCAAAATCGTATTCCTCCCCGCAAGTCAACAGTTTGGACTCGGGCCCACCGACCCCACCCAGAACATAAAATTTCCCATCCATGAGCACCCCGGAGCACATCTTCCGGGCCTTGTTCATGTTTGGCAAAAGTGTCCAAGTGCCTGTCTCGGAATTGTACAGCTCAGCCGTACTCATGATCTTTCCCTGAGAGTCACAGCCGCCGGCAAAAACAGCAATCCCATTCTGGCTGGCGGAACCAAACAGACACCTAGGCTCCTTCATCTGAACCCCCGATGACCAGGAATTGGTCAGAAGGCTATAACGGTAAATGACCTGTGACATTAACTCCTTTCCAAAAACAAGTAGCTCTGTTCCAACGGCCAATGATTCCTTATCTGACAAAACGAAACACTCGTTCGAGTTCATAGTCGGGAGCCGCATCCAACGGAGACGGTTCGGGTCAAACGCTTCCCATTCCTGGAGGTTGCATGAGAAATAAACCCAATGCTCAACCACACTGTTCATGCGCCTCAGTTTGTATATCTCCCCACTCCTTATTAATGACCGAAAACTCCTATTGACAGCTGAAAGGCTACCATAATCTGACCTTGAACATCGAATTAGACAGCTAATTGCATTGTCTCTACCGATTCCGGGTATTAGAGAGGTATCTTCTGAACTAAGCTGATGTCCACCTCGGCTAGACTGTGACGATAAAGTGCCACCTAGGGTTAGATCAGTGTCAACTTTATTATCAGATTGCCTTGGAAACTTCCGAGGAGCCAACTCTTTCTCCTTACGATCCTCTTCCAATGGCCTTTTGCCGCCATTCATGTCAATCTGGTAATTCATACAAGTCTTTCCACGCTCTCTCCCGTAGTTTCTTGGTACCAAACAAGACTGTTCTTCTAACATGTCTGTCTTTGGCCTTATGCCATTTTTCTTAAGCTGCTTCTTCTCTTCACCAGGTATTTTTTTCTGCACATAATGTTCCAAAAAACCTAAATACAAACTCTAGAATAAATCAAGAAACATGAGAAATGTAAACAAACAAATGGAAACAGAAAAGATATGAGTTATTGGACAAATTTCTCGATTCCCCAGCAAAGCAAAGCAAAGCGTTCTCAATCAATAAGCTGATTCCCCAGTAATATTATCCAATGTCATTCAAGAATCGAAGATATATACATATTATGTATAATTATGAGAAGAAGAAGAAGAAGAAGAAGAAGACGAAGAATCAATGAAGTAATTAGGGAAGGGAAGCAAATAACTGATCCAAAATCAACATGAGAATATAGATCAGCTGGCAACTTAAAATCATCTAATCTTTCAGCAAGAATCGAACTTTACAAGAATAGCAGCTACCCAGATTCAAACACGCCTAAAAATTAGCTCAATCAAATCTAGAGGAAAAAAAAAATCATTTAAAAAAAAAAGAATCAATCTTTGCGAAAACCCAGATCTCTAGAGCTCAGATCAGACAGAGCCCAAGCTGGAATCTTGAGTTGTTTTTCCACAAGGACAACCAAAGCAGATCGGTTTATTAATAGAGAGATAATCCCACCACTATTTCCTAAACCGAAAAACGGGAAAAGGGCATATTAACAAAACAGGGTTTGCGAATTTAAAAGAATAATGATTTAGGTAACTTACGGATGAGCTAAGAAGTAAAGAAGACGACTTGATTGGAATTATGGCGTTACCAAAACTGTGCAACTGTTTTTTCTCTGTATCGATATGTATAGTGTCCGCATATATTCCCTTCCGTATCTATATGTATACGTATACAATATATACATACATACTCATTTATAAAACAATATCTATCAACATATGAGATTCAGAGCTTCAAGAAGAGAAGTCTCCTCTTTGTGTAGTATACTTTTGCACATCGAAGAAGGCCATGGCCATGACCCCTCCTTTCTCCGGCTCTCTTTCTCTCTATTTCTCTGAGTATTCTCTTTTTTAGCACTTCTTTTCTGGGGAGAAATGGAAAGAGAACCCCCACAAGGTTGAATCGGCTAAACAGTGGGGAAAGTTTTTATATATACTGGAGAATACAGCTGGATTTGGTCGTATTTATGAGTTTTTGCCAGGTTTATTTATACTCGTAACAATTCGCAATCGCACCATAAAGAATGTCAATCTACACCTACTAGTAGTCTAGAGAGAAGGGTGATTGTAGGAATGCAAATTATATCATTCCCCAGCCAAATCTTGACGGAATATCAACTAAATCGTTTTCTTTCAGGAATTGATGAAATAGTAGTAGAATAAATAAAGGAGAATTCCCATGGAGTAAAACCTATGAAGCACGGATACTTCCCAAGGGTAGCGTATCGGCGTATCCGATACGTTCCCGTATCCGATACTCTAGGATACCCGTATCGTACGTTCTCGGGCCGTATCTGCAATTTTTAAAAGTTTCCACTTTTTTTTTGTAATTTTTTGAAAGTTTCCGATACTCGTATCCTGACGGATACCCGTATCAACTTTTTTTAAAAAAAAATGCCAAAATTTACTTAATAAAATTCTAAAAAAATGAAAATATAAAACTACATTTTACTTGGTAATCAAATAATGGGCCTATATGGCTATATCCGAATTAAGTCATTAACTCATACTCCGAATTGGGTACTTGCACTTTTAATTTCAAGATTGTAGTTGTTTGACTTATTTCTCATTTTAAATTAATGACTTATTGACTACATTTATATTTCGAGATACACTAGTGTATATGAGAAATATTATGAATTTATTACTAAGTATCTTGAAAAAGGAAAATGTTTCAATGCAATGAATGGGTAGACATCATAGCATATTATATGTGTATATATATATATATATATATATTAAAAAAAAATCTATTTTTAATATTTATAAATAGACCCCTATAACTTTTAATATTTGTAAATACACCCCCATAACTTTTAATATTTATAAATATGGCCCCGTATCCGTATCCTACTTTTTTTGGTTTTGACGTATCCCCGTACCCGTTTCCGCGTTTCCGCGTTTCCGCGTACCGGTATCGGTGCTACATAGAGTAAAACAATTAAGGGACTTTATTGATTTCTAGGGAGTAATGTTTGTTATCTCATTTGATTTGTTTAAGTTTGAAATGGTTCAATTTGTTAGATATTTGTTCTATGTATATGTTAAATTTATCGAAGTTTGGTATGATCTAAAGTCTAAACTAATTTGGTCTAGTTTAGGACCGAAGTCAATCCAATAAGTCTTGTCTAGTTTAGGACCGAAGTCAGTCCAATAAAACATCCTTAAAGTGCAAAAACATAAGTCAATATTTAAAATTCCTTAAATATTATTCCAATAAAATCCCTAAATATGTTCATAGTTTGTGATGGGATAAAAACATCCTTGTAGAGGTTGAAGCTTAGTCATCGGACTGTTGTCGCCAAATTGATGTCACACTGCCACCGGATTCCCTAATTAAGTAGGGTTAGGGGACTAATTATATTAAGAGTGAAAATGTAATATTTAGTCCTAAGGGATATAAGACATGAATTCTTAAGCTCTTATTTAGGAATAACTAAGTACATTTTTGTTTTATATTAAAATTTTGACTAATCTATTTTTAAGAGAATGATAAAAAATTGGAATTTTCAAAAGTTGATGAATCATATTTTGGAGAACAAAGTTTAGTGATTTTATATAAGAAATTTGCTCTAACTTAATCTTTTTAGGGATCGTTCCTTATGGTTGATGAAATAGGGTGAGGAGTAGTCTTACGGTGGGTGATCAAACCAAGATTGCTAGGGTCTTTGACCATGTTTGAGGAGTTCCCAAGTAGACTTACTAGTAGATAGTCAAATTAGATATTGTACAAAGTTTCCTTTTAGTTGGCTAATCAAAGCTAATGTGTTAAGACATGCAGAACCTGAACCATCAGCAACTCACACCTAGAGCTAGGAGCAGCATCCGTGATAGACTTGACGCGGGCAATTCACATCCCTATTAACATAAACCAAGAAGATAGTCTCATTTGGGGACTCTCGGACACGAGTGGGTTCAATTTAAAATCTACTTACTCTTCACTTTTTCTCCATACATCTGACGATGACCTCGACTGGGTCGAGAATATCCAAGCTATAGAACGTGTTCGAATCTTCATGTGGCTGGTTTAGAAATCCAAGATTCATACCAACAAAAAAAGAATGCACAGACAGCTCACCGAAAATCCATCTTGCCCAATTTGCAAAATGAATCCATTCTCCATCTCCTCTAGGAGTGCAACCGGGCCCAGGACAACTTCACAGTTGAACCGGTTAAGAAACATGAGAGACTTATAGGAATCAAGCGCTTACCTTTATACCAAAAGTTATAGCTTGTAATGCATGCACAACTTTATTTCTTTATATTTGCATTGCAGTCAAGCACTAATAATCATAAATATTGGGATTGTTATTTAATTTGTAAAACTTTTTCTATTATACATTTATACATATATCCCCCAGGGCCCTCTCGGCGCGTCTCTCTGCCTGCTTCAACATTTGTTTACACCATCTTAGAGAGTCCTTGCAAGGAGGCGCCATGTTGGTCTATCAGGATATTTTGTCTAATAACGAACTTCTCTCTGATTCATTTCCTTACAAGGAAATTGAGGGAGAACTGTTATGGGAAGTTGAGGGAAAGTGGGTTGTTCAAGGATCTGTTGAGGTAGATATTGGAACAAACCCATCTACAGAAGGCAGCAAAGAGAATGAGGGTGTGGTTGACATTGTGATACGTTTAGACTCAAGGAGCAAGCCGACTTTGATAAGAAGGGCCTTGTTGTATATATGAAGAAATACAGTAAATTAATGTGTGATAAGTTGACTGGAGATAAACGGGAGGAGTTTAAGAAGAAAATTGAGCCAGCAACCAAGTACCTGCTCGCAAAGGTTAAGGATTTGCAATTTTTTGTTGGGGAGAACGTTTCAGACGATAGTGGTCTTGTGTTCACTTACTATAGGGAGGGTGAGACTAACCCTACATTCCTCTACCTTTGTAACACCCCGGCCCCGCAGGACCCGAGGTAGTTACTTCGGACCAATAGTACTGTCCTCACAAACCACCACAAGCCTTTACCGCGCACTTTGTCCTCACTCATGCGCGCCTTGAGAAACTTCCCAGGGGGTCACCCATCCCAAGACTACTCCCGTGCAAGCACGCTTAACTTTGGAGTTCTTGGGTGATGAGCTCCCTTAAAAGGAGATGCACCTCTGTTTGTATGAGTAGTACTATTAATCCTCTTAAATTAATCTCGGGTATTACAATCACCCCCACTTAGGATCGCAACGTCCTCGTTGCGCCCTTAAACCAATCTCAATCACACCCCAGAATCTTTTCCCCTGCTAAGTGCCCGCCCGATATCCAACGGATCAGCACACTGTGGGGATAGTACTATTGGTCCCGAGTAGCTACCTCGGGTCCTGCGGGGTCGGGGTGTTACATTCAGCCTCGAGAAACGGGCCTCCATTTGAAAAGCCCATCATTACGGGCTGCCGGTTCAACCAATAGGTGACACCCGCCCACCTTCAACCAATAGGTGACACCCGCCCACCTTCGGCCAACAGGAACACGCCACGTGGACCCGACCTCCAACGGTCATATTCCAACGGCCCTACCTTGGAAACTCTTGAGGCAACTTCAGACGATAGCCCCCAGCTATTACTAAGTAGAGCCTCCGGTGAACACATGTCACCAAGTACCTTCGAGACTGCAGCAGCACAAGCCTTCGGTTTGTCAATGTTGCGTCCTCAAGCATGTGACAACATAAGCCTTCGGCTTATCAATATTACCACCCCTCGGGGATACACGCAAACATCATGACTCCTTCAGCCCGAACTAGCCTTCGGCCTAAAGGAGTGGGGGACTGGGATATACCCCTCGGGCATCACACAGAACAAAATTTCCTCAAGAGAAAATCTACAATTGATGCATATAGCCTCCGGGTAAACATCAAAGTAGAACCCCTCGGGTACATACTTCAATATACCCTTCGGAAGAGGCAGAGTATCAAAAATTTTCCCAAGTCACTTGGGGAAATGAAGCAGCCCCCATCGTAACACATGCGGGCAATACATCTATACTTTCCTCAGAAAACCCTCGACATGTGAGGGACTGAGGAAAGCCTTCGGCAGTCATACAAGTGTTATACTTCCCTCAGAAAACCCTCGACATGTGAGGGACTGAGGGAAGCCTTCGGCAATCAGTAGAAGGCAAGTTCTCAAGCAAAGGCGCCCAACTAAATGATGAAGCCTCCGGAAGAATCAACACATCTACTCCTTTTCCCTCAAACACCTTTCGGCAAAAGGAGTGAGGGACTCCTGATGGAGTATATGGCCCAGGAACCCCCGGCCCATAGACTCCTACTTCTCCTACAAGGGCCCATTAAGCCCGGGGAACATCTCAGGCCCAAAAACAACGCCCCAAACCTCAGAGGAGCCCAGGATTCACGCTGGGGTGCCTTCGGCCTCCTTGGCCGAAGGCTCCAAATTACACAGGGCAGCCAGTTTTGAACATAAGAAGTCACTGGGAGAAAACGGCGCAAAGTGGTAGCCCTCGGCTATCAGGAGCCTTCGGCACACAAGGTGCCCTCGGCATCAGGGAGGTCTTCGACATTCACATGCCTTCGGCTACATAGAGCCCCCGGCCGAAGGGGAAGCCTTCGGCCAACTTCTCAATCATCGAAGATTCCTTTTGGAGACAGCCAACCACCGCATTTAATGCGACGTCACATCCACCCACCGCATTCAATGCGGTGAACGTACCACGGCCAGTGCCACCCGATTGACGTGACCCCTCGGCCGCTAGATTATTGACACGTGTGCTCTCATCGCATTTATTGCTGCTATAAATAGCAGCCCATTTCTCCTTGTAAACGACACCACATCCCAACTCCCACACGCTGAGTCCATTTAATAAAATCGACTCTCTCTCCTCCTATTTTGCTCTGACTTCTCTCTAGTTATTCCCGCAATAACCCCTCGGATAAGATACCCCCCGGGTAGACTATCCATCAGATCATATTCTCGTATGATACCTACTATATATATAGAGGTAGGTTCAAATATAAAATAGTCCTTATATAAAATCAACAAGAAAAACTTTTCTTCGAGAAACTTCTTCATAAAACCAACAAACAACAAAACAACGATTATAAACTTCTTTAGAAACACGGTTTCAGACCATTTTGTATTGGATTTGATTTAAATCTTCCCAAAGTCATAGT